ACTAGACAGTCAGCCTGTCTACACCCCCTTAGCCTCCTCTTTCAGCCCTCAGCGCCAAGGGGGCAGGTGTGCCTCTCATAAATTCTAGGGTCCTGAAGTTCTGGGGTTTATGTTTGGAAGCCTAGAAGATCAGGCTTGCTAAGAATAACTATGTCTTGGCCTGCCTGGCACAGGAAAAACAAATCTCCATATATTGTCAGCTGATTGATTGGCAGGACCTCAGGAACACTGATGGCCATCCAAGAAACACAGGTGTCCAGGGCACCTGGCTCCGGGCAGGTGGAGCCTGACAACCCATGGAAACTCTTATTTGTGGGCAGACTTTCCACTCCTCGCCCCACCCTGCTGCCCGTGGCTCTGAGGCACCTCTGTGAAGGCAATGACTTGAGACACACAAACATGGGTTTGGAGCACAAGCCCAGAGTCAGAAGCCAGAATGAGCCCAGGAGGTGAGCAGCATCCCCCTGCTCCCTGCTAAGCCAGGCGTACAGTGAGGCTCAAGGCGAGGAGACTTCCCTGGGATCCTGCACCTCTCCGAGGCAAGGCCAGAGTCTGCCAGCACCCTTGGCCAAGACCAGCACCAAGTGACTCCCAGAAGAATTTGACAAAACCTGGGGCTGGGGATGTGGCTCAAGCGGTAGTGCGCTTGTCTGGCATGCGTGCGGCCCGGGTTCGATCCTCAGCACCACATACCAACAAAGATGTTGTGTCTGCCGATAACTAAAATAAATAAATAAATAAATATTTAAAAAAAAAAAAAAAAGAATTTGACAAAACCCTCCCCACAGCGGGACACTTTAACATCCTCAGAAATGATGTTAGGTGGACCCAAAGGAAGTAAGGAAAGAGAATTCTGAGACACATAATCAATGACTTCGAAACTATATATATTCTCCAAATAAGGTGTATGTATATAAAATATCCATGGAACATTTCTAACTATTGGTGTGTGTGGGTATGTGTACGTGTGGTTGTAAAGAAAAATTTCAAATTATAGAAAGTAAAAGTTATACATTCCCATCCTCAAACCATATAATTCAGTGAAACTAGAAATGAATTACAAAAAGGTAGCAATAATAGTGGGAAAACTCTGGGAACAAAGATACAAACATACAAACATCAGTTGTACTCTAAACAGATTCTGTTTTGAACAAGAAGTAAAAACTTCAAATTCAGGCTTCTTCTTCTTCTTCTTTTTTTTTTTTAAAGGAAGGAATTTTTTTTAACACCTTTATTCTCTTTATCATTTGTATGTGGTGCTGAGGATTGAACCCAGGGCCTCACATGTGCTAGGCAAGCGCTCTACTGCTGAGCTATCACCCCAGCCCCAAATTTAAGCTTCTTGAAAATTAATAAACATGAGAACACCACATGATAAAGTGTATGGGAGATGGCCCAAACTGAGCTCAGAGGAAAATTTGTAGCCCAAAGTGTTTTCTAAAATTAAACAACAACAACAACAACAACAAAAATGGAAAGCAAATAAAAATTTGATATGAGTCTAAAAAAAAATGACTAAAAACAATTAAAAGGAGAAACAAATTTGATACAGTTCAAAAGAGTAACATATTAAATTAGAAAAAAATAGTAAAATAGATCCTTAAAAACCAAGCTAGCATAGAGAGAAAGGATGGGAGAGGAGGGGAGGAGTAGGGAGGATAGGAAGGGCAGCAGAATAGAATAGACAATATGATTGATGTATGTACATTCCATGTATGTTTTATATGTCAAAATACATTCTGCTGTCATGTATGACTAAATAAATAAATAAAAGTCTAAAACAAACAAACAATCAAACAAAAAAAACCAAGCTAGCTTTTTACAAAGACCAGCAGCACACATTTCTCATAAATACGAGTAGTAATCAAGAGATGAACAAATAACAACCCTAGAAATGAAAACTGAACTGACACCACGGATATACACAATTTTCAAAGTTATAATAAGATATATATTTGAAATCTGGATAGGGTGGACAATTTCCTTGAAAAATAAATGACCAAAATTAACTTGAAAAGAGTCAGAAAAACATGAATCTAATACCCATAGGAGAAACAGATAATTATTGATGAACGAGGAAGGGGTACGGCAGAGTGATGGACAGGTGAAGAAAAGGACCCGAGTGAGGCCAGGCCTGGGGAGCTGACAGGGGACCTTGTCCATAGCTTCCCATTTTTGCCAAGGTCCCTCTGTTGCCCTGATCTCCACATGAGCCCAGGTACCCCATTCTAGGATTGGGGCTCCCAGGTCTCCTTCTTAAACTTAGGACCCTGGAGCCTCAGGTCTAGGCCCTCCAAAGCTGAGCTCCAAACCATCAATGCCAGGAGAGGGGCGGGGGAATGATACCAGGAACAGGCGGAGGCAACAGCAGGTACGGGGTAGGGGGACAGGATATGACCTGTGCAAAGTTCCTAGCCTGTAGCTGGCAGCATAGTCACAGTCCTTATGTAACCATGGGACAAAACAAAACAAAGCCAAACAAAACACTTTCCCCTTCTTGGGCCACTGCCAGCAGCAAGAGGGTCACTGTCCTGGGAGACAGAGCCAGGGGACCTTTACACCAGGACCCTGCCCACTGCTCTAGCACCCTGTGAGAGTCCCAGGGCCTCAGGGACATGACCCTCACTCCCTCACTCTGCCTCCTGAGAGCCATGCAGCAGCACTTCCCCTGTCCCAACAAGCCAAGGACTGGCACTTTCTGATTCATGGGGGCCTGAGGGGAATCTCAGCAGGACTGTGACTTTAAAGCCCACTGCAGGGGCCCAGGTGGACCAGGGGGTCTCCTCCCTGGAAGGCCCTGGAGCTTCCTGAGGGCTTTGGGGAGCACCCTGGATGTGCTCAAGGACGCTCTCATCTTCATCCCAAATAGGGAGAGAAGGAGGGTGGGCTGCCAATGGCTGGCTTTGCTCAGCTGCATGTCACCCACCTCTGAGAGGCCCTACCACCCTGCCACGCGTCCTCCCCACCTGCCGCCCAGGACAACTTCAGGGAGAGGAAAGATGGGAATCACACGGAGGAGAGAGGTGCTTTCAAGGAAACAAGGCCTTGAAAGGAACCTCCCTTCTGGGGACCTCCTTTCCTTCAAGGGTGCCCCCCAACTCCTTTCTCCATTTTGCCCATCTTCAGGTGAGGTTTAGCTTTCCAGGTGGGGAACACCGTGGAAGGTGGCGCAGGGCCAACATCTCAGAGAGTCTTCCAGGTTAGGGAGCATCCTCCATGACTTATTTTAAGTAGATTTTTAAAGAGCGATTTTAGAGTGATTTCCTCAGGAAAATTTAACACAAAGTGGAGAGTTCCTGTATCCTCCTGTTCCCCACACAGGTCTAGCCTCCTGACCACTGACACCCCACACCAGAGAAGTACAGACATTACTGCCAATGAACCTACGTGGCACCTCACTATCATCCAGCCCAGTCCACACCAGAGTACACACCAGTGTACACTCTAGGGTTTGTACCAATGCAATGACACATATCCACAGAGAATTAAGCAGGCAGTTTCTCTGACCTAAAAATCGCGTCCTCTGCCTGCTCATCCCTCCCTCCGTCTCACACTTGGCTACCATTCATCTTTCTACTGTCTCTGTGGTTTTACCTTTTCCATGGAGTCATACCATCCGGGGCCTTTCAGACTGGATCTTTCACTGACTAATGTGCACTCAAGGGCCCTCAATAACGTTTCATGACCTTATAGCTCATTTCTGTACGGTGCTTCATAGTGTCCCACTGTCCAGCTGTGTGACAGCTCATCCAGCCATTCCCCTCCTGATGGATATCCTAGTTGCTTCCAAGTGTGGGGAATTATGAAGAGATCTGCTGTGAATATCCACGTGTGGAAGACTTATGTCCACAACTCCTTTGGGTAAACACCAAGGGGCATGATTTCTGGATTGGATAAATGTTCAGTTTTGGACTGAGCTTCCTTTTTCAATGGCTTTATTGAGTTATAATGTAAATGCAATAAAGTCCCCCATTTTCAGTGTCCAGGTGGTGAGTTTGGGTGAGTACCTGTGGTCACGTTCACGTCATGCTCTATGGGTCTAAAGGTTTCCTGCTGCTGTCAGTCCCCTCTGATTGTCCCCTTGAAGTGCCTGCTCTTTGTCACTACAGCTTTGCTTCTTCCCGAATTCCATATAAATGGGAGCCTACAGTCATGGCTTGGGGTCTGGCTTCTTTCACCCCACATGCTTTTCAGATCCGCTCATGCTGGAGCCACCGGAAGTCTCCCCTTTCCTTGCTGAAGAGCACAGCACCGTACATGGAGACTCGGTCTGTCTGCTGACCCACTAAAGGCTGTTCGGGTGGCTTCCTCTGGACAGAGGGAATTGCTGTGGACATTGTGCGTAAGTCTTTGTGGGCGGTTCTCCTGGGAGGAAGGGTGAGGGCTCACTCGGGCCCACAGAGAGCGGGGAGTGGATGGGGAGCTCCACAGAAGGGGCAGCTCCTGCCTTCTCAGCCAGCCGCCTCCCTCCCCGCCTCCCTCCCCGCCTCCCTCCCCCACTGGCCAGTTGCTCTGAACAAAAGGTCAGGGGCCCTGAGAGGGAGGGCAGTGTGTTTATTTCCGCATCTCCATGGTGCAGGGAAAACTTCAGTGTGGGGTGTACTGGGGGAGCGCCTGCGCCACAGCCCGCGGCTTCCAGCACGTTCCAGCTGCCTCCTCCCGGCCCTCCAGGGCCCACCCAGATCTGGCCCCTCTTCACTTCCCAGGCCCCCCGGGCTCCAGGCTCCTCATGCTGGGCCTCTTGTGGGTCTCAAATGGTTTTTTGGCATGTGCCATCTCCCATGTCCCCACCCCACCATGAGGCAGCAGAAGCAGGGCCTGTTACCCTCCCTGGCAGATGGACTCAGAGAAACTGAGTGACTGGCAGAAAATGACCTCTCATGGGGGGTGACCCTCCTCTCACCTACATCCGCCCTCCATGGCAACCCCCATTGGTTTCCCTCCCCACCCCAAAGTCCGGCCCTCCCTCCAGAATTTCTCAGGCACCACAGACAATGGAGTGACAAGTAAACATTATTTTAATTATTCACATGTAATGTACACAATGCACCAGGTACTGATCAAAGAACTTTCCAAATATTGGCTTGCCTAATAGGCAAATACAATCATCATTCCCATTTTACAGGAATACCAAGGCACAGAGAGGTTAAGGAACTGGCCCAGGGTCACACTGCTAGGAGGCCAGAGAGACAAGAGTTGACTCACACTTTTAGCCACTGCATTCTACTGCCCATGAATTTGTTTGGTTGTTTCTTTTCCAGTCACTATTTTTTTTCTAATGGTTTTATTGAGGTATAATTTATATACCGTAAGATTAACTTTTTTAAGTGTACAATTAAATCATGTCAGTAAACTTACAGAATTGTTTAACTCTCACAACTATCCAATTTGAGAACATTTCCATCGCTCCAGGAAAGATCCTCTGTGGCCATCTGCAATCACTGTTGGTCCTGACCCTCAGTCTGAGGCATCCACTAATCTATGTTCTGCCTTGAGATTTGCCATGGACATTCGTGGACGTGGAAACAATAAGTGGTCTCCGAGTCCGGCTTATTTATTTAGCATGATGCTTTGCTGCTCATTCACGCTGTAGGAGGTGTCACCTCTTCAGTCCTTTTTAATGGCCAAATGACATTACGCTGTATGGACAGACTGCATGGTGTCCCCATTCCCCAGCTGACGGACCTTTTCCATTATTTCCACTTTGGGGCGTGGTAGGTAATGCTGCCGTGTGAACATCTCTGTACAAGCCTCGTGTGGGCACATACTTCCCTTTCTTTCTGGGCACATGCCTACGAGGGGAGTTGCTGGGTTGTATGATAAATTTATATCCGGCTTTTATGATAAACTGCCCGACTTCTTTCCAAGGTGCTGCAGCGTTTTCTATTCCCACACTCAGGAGCTTTGCAGCCTGGGAGGTCCAGATTCAAATTCAGAGGGGACCTCATGAGAGTCCTAGAACCAGCCTGGGGAGTGTAGCACGGCTGTCATGGGGCGGGGTGGGGCAGTGCATCAAACTCAGACTCTGCTCATGGATGTCTGAGAAACAGGTGGACAAGGAATCTACTGTCCACTTTCTGACCTACAAAACTGCCCTCTGGGACCAGAGAATTCAGGGGAAGTCCACAAAGTGCCATTAAGGCAAAAGAAAAACAGAAGTGCACAGTGGAGATGTCAAGGGTCTGCTCTCCAGAGGCAGGAAACCAGCTGAGCATGCGGGGCATAGGAGTTGTCTGAGGCCCTCAGGCTCTGGAAGCTCTGGGTTCCTGCCTCAAGAAACTTCTCTGATCTCCTTGGAGGGCGGTGAGAGATGAGGAGATGCAGAGGGGAAGCCCCAGGAGGCAGCTGCCTGGAACAGCCATCAGGCCACGTGAGACCAAGTCTCTGGGTGGCAGATGCTACCTGCCAGGGAAGACCCTCCCTGAGCTGTGCTGCCCTCCAGAAAGGGAGGAACACTGCTGCCCACTGTTAGCATGACAGCCCCAAGTGAGTCACTGATGCCCCAGGGGGCGGGAGGTCTGAAGAACAGGGCCAGGACAAGGGGCTTCCTACAGGGACCAGCATGGAGGCCATGGCTTTGCAGGGTAGAAGGGGCAGCTGCCTCCCTTGCCTTAATGCCAAGCACTCAGGGCAGGAGGTGAATGTCCACCACTCAGGGCAGGAGGCGGACATGAATTTGAGGAGACACTCTTCAACCTGAGTGACTGGCAACTCAGGTTGAAGATGGTCTCTTCAAATTCATGTCCACCTGGAACCTGTGAAGGTCTTGTACGGAAACAGGTCTCTCAGATGTGAATACGGTAGTAAGCTCTGGATTAGGACGGGTCCTGATCCAATGAGGGGAATTTGGACACAGAGGCCATGGAGAGCCCTGTGTGAAGACAGAGACACACAGGGAGTCTGTCACACAAAGATGGAGGTAGAGACTGGAGTGATGTAGCTATAAGCCAAGGAATGCAAGGGTTGCCAGCAGCCACCAGAAGCCAGAAAGACACTCTGGAGACCGTGGCCCTGAGAACACCTTGATCTGAGAGGTCTAAACTCCACACTGTGAAAGAACATTTCTGTTGTTTACAGCCACTCTGTTATGGCAGCCCTTGGACACTGGTGCAGGGACCAAAAGCTGGGCTCAGGCTGCTACAACAAACCATACCTGCTGCAGGCAGCAAAGAGGGAAGAACGGGGGCAGAGAGGGTGCATGGAGGACAAGGTGCCTCTTTTACTTGTCTCTGGGCAGGAGGCCTGAAGAACAGGACTGAGACAAGGGCTCTGCATGGCTCCTGGCAGGACCAGCTGTAACGGTGGAGCTTCCGTCTCTGTGTCCTCCGCCACGCCAGGAACAGGCACTGCAGACAGCAGCTCCATGGCAGTGCCAGCTGTCTGCACAGGCCTAGTCCCTCTTTGGCCACAGCTGCAGCTGCCAGGCCCCTCACCACGCCCGCCCTGCTTGTGCGGTATGGTTTGTACCCTCATCCTTCTTCTCCCAGCAGCTGATATGCACACCAACTGTGACTGCCACCATGATGAGGCACTTTTTTTGTTTTTTTGTACCAGGGATTGAACCCAGGGGCATTTACCTACTGAGCCACACCCCTAGCCCTTTTTATGTTTTATTTTAAGACAGAGTCTTGCTAAGTTGCTTGGGACCTCAGGACTTCACTAATTGGCTGAGTCTGGCTTTGAACTTGCGATCCTCCTGCCTTAGCTTCCTGAGTCACTGGGATTACAGATGTGCACCACCACACCTGGCAACATGGTGCTTCTTGACCAGGAGGGCTGTCATGCTTTTCTCTGCCTTCCTAGGCCTCTTCCTTCCTGATTCCCTGCTTGAGGGACACAGTTCCTGCACACAGTTGATGCCCACTGAATACGGTTTGAGAATGAGGAACCATAACACAACTGGCCAGCAAGGCTGGAGGGAGTTACCCCAGCTTTATTAACAATCTGTTCACAGGCCATTCTCTTTGCTGAGTCGGCAGAGATGCATCAGGCCTCTAAGTTGCCTTTAGAGTCCGCTTACCAAGCCTCATGCCGAGCCCATAATCCCCAAGCCAGAAGCTGCAGCTTCGTCCTGAGAATGATCTCAGTTCTCACCAGTGGCCAGAGCATGGACAACAGGAGCCAGAGGCCAGCACACTGGGCAGGTGGAGGTCTGCACACTCTGTTTTCACCATGTCATAGCACAACATCCAGCATAGAGATCAGGGGCACCCGGCTGGAGGTTGAGCTAAAGCTGACCTGTTTCTGGTCACCCACCCTGCAGCCAGCTTGTCCTGGGCAGAGGGTCCCTCTGTGAGGAGGGACCAGCCACTAAAACATTTTTTAGGCACGGATGGGATTTTACATTCACATAAGTCAGGGTAAAGGTCCTTGCTTGGCACTGGGGAGTGAGGGGACTTCACAGAGCCCAGCTGGGCTGGAACCCAGATAGCTCCATGGTGACTCAGCCTGACCACTGCTTCACCAGGATGCTGTGGGCTCCAGGAGAACCAACAGCCACTTATGACCACTCACGTGCCCCTTGGGCAGCTTCCCCTAGCCACAACGGCACAAAGCAGAGGATGGTTTGAACCCGGGGAGTTTGCAGTGAACAGGACCATTTAAAGGGGTCTGTGCCTTAACTGTGCCTGCTCTGGGTGGCCAGCAGTCTACACACACACCCCCACAGCACGGGAAAGTGACTGCTGTCCAGCCAAAGCCACTATTCAGGGACATATTGGTAGCTCTGTGGCCCTCTTTCTCAGGATGTGTTCGGCTGGGTAGCTGGTGAGCTAGAGAACTGACCATGACCTTCCATGCCAGTTAAATCCACAAAACTCAGCTGTCAGCTGGGCATGGAGGAACAGGGTCCCCAAGAGTGACGTGGCTATCTTGCCTCACCTGGCATGAGGGCTCCAGTGGTAGGACAGCCCTCGGGGTACCATGGGTGAGCTGAGGTCTGGTCACATCAAATCGACATGGTCATGAGATTGGAGCTTAATGGGTGGGCATCTCCAGCAGAGCCCAGGACACTGGCCTGGCTAGGTCCAGCCCGAAGACTGGGACTTTCCAGAACTGGCCTGAACTCATGGCTTCCTGAGAGAAACAATGCAGGGGAAAGGGAGCAGCCCAGCCACAGATGGCACATCCTGTACCCGGGCTTGCAATGGCCTCCAAGTAAACAAAGGACACCGTCCCCAGTTCAGCCTCTGTTTCTCTTCCACGGTGAATTCAGCTGCACGCTCTGGGGCTGAGCCGTCCTCCTCAGAATGGCCTGATGGTCTGTGGGAACCCAGACTCCCAACTCAATCTCGGCTGCAAGAGCCAAGCTCAAGGTATGGGGGAGGGAGGCAGCGATATCAGCCCACAGACTGTCCTGTGTGTGGAGTCCCTGGCTCCCCGGGAACCTGTTCTCAGGTATCCAGTGGGTGTCACCCTGCAGCATCTGCTGTTGAACCTCTGGGTCTCAGGGATGAAGCAGCAGCCTAGAACCGGAGCTCTAGCAGGAGAGCAGAGGCCAGGAGGGCTGTGTGACATTAGATGGTCCCAGCTTAGAGCTCTGCAGTGTGGGGGTGGGAGGTGAGGCCTGGAGAAGGAAGGGCTCCCCTTTCCACACAGGTCTTGGATGATCAGTTACTGGCCTAATGTCCTCACTGGGCTTGCGCCTCTGGGTCCTTTGCCTCAGTTTACACAATGGAAAAGAACAGAATCTTCCTCTTCCTTTTGCCCTACCTTAGTAAGAGGCAGCTGGGAGGATGAGGCAGAGCAACAGAAGATGTGGGGTCCCACGAGGGAAGCTCGTCTGGTTGTCTCTTGCTATGAGTAACCCCCTACATGCATCTCCTGCACCCTGACACCCCCCACCACCTCCCATCAGTCCAGGGATGGAAAAGGACATCACTGGCACATTCCAGAATGAGGCACGCACACAGACTTTACTGGATGACTGGGTGTCACCCACTGGCTTTAGGTCTTAGATGTATGGTGAGAACAAGCCACAGCTGGAACAGCCATGTCTCAGGGACACAGACCTCTGTAGAAGCATCTAGAAAATTCCAGGCCACCGAGGAGGCAGGGCGTGCAGTGGGCAAACCCACACTAAAGTGTCTGGCCAGATTCTGTCAGAGGCCCAAGCCAGGGGACTGGTCCAATGGCCACTTTGCCAGCTACATCCTCTGCTCCTACATTACCAGTCACCCAGAAAAGGGGGGCGGGGAGGTGGGGAAGGATAAGGAGTTGATAGCCAGGATGCAGAGGAGAGGGCAGGGGTTGCGAAGAGCCCAAAGGAGGGCTGGGGCCAGTACTGACTGGGCAGACTCTCAGAGGAAGACCTGGCTACATGGTCTCAGGTCCTCAGAGGCCTTCCTTCACAGCCAGCAGAGACTGTGGGGTGCAGGGCTGGGCACGAACAGGTGAAGGGTGGAGGGTTTGAATGCCAGATGGAGAAAGGGAAAGATGAGTCAGGGTGGAAGCTGTTCTACAGCCAGCTCCCAGTCCCTGAGGAGAGAAGCCCCTCTGACCAGGCAAGGCAGAACTCTGCCCAGTACCACCTACATCTTCTCACTGGGTGTTGACCTGCTCAAGGGCAGGCAGCTGATGAGGGCTGTGGTAAGACAGATGACAGACCAGGCCCAGGGCTCCCAACCCAGCCCTGCGGTTCCTGCACAGGGCAGGAGCTGTGGATACTGGTCACACAGTGGCAAACAACTGGCCCACGTCACCTGGGGCCTCCCCTGGGCTGGCTCTTGGGCCTGATCAGGAAAGGGTCACAGGCCTAGGTCCTGACCCCTTCCAATGCCTCTGCCAGGCAGGACAGCACCAAGAAACAACAGTGGTTGCATTTTGTTAAAAACTATTTTGTTTCATTAAAAACTAGCTCTGAATATGGAGAATATACATCCAAGAAAGACAATCTAATATTATTTGCTCCATGAAGCAACATTCGCTGAGTCTCCTGGGTGCTGCATCTTAGCCAGCACTGTGTGCCCCACTGTGGGTTCTGCGGGGCTGGGAGAACTCTGAGGCACTGGCCTGCCCTGGAACAAGGCTCCTCCCTAGGTTGGTGATTCTACTGGCGAAAGGCCACTGAACAAGTCCAGATCCTGAGGATAGGCAAGGCCTTGGAGCAGAAGCCTGAGAGCATCATGTTCCTTGGAGAGCAGGAGACGGCACTGGGAAGAAAGCCAACTCAAGTCCCAAGATCATGCAGAGGTCTAGGGGGTGCTGGCTCTGTGCCCAGAGGCCCAAGGAGGTCACTGCTGGCTAGACCCTTCCTGGGAAAGGAAGTAGAAGGAAAACTTGGGATCCAGCAGTCTTCTATATCCCAGAGAAGCAGGCTGGGCCCAGCTGCTCCCCTTAGGGCTGGTAACTATGAGGCTCATGAGAGACTCATCAGGGCACTCTGGACAGCAGGGCTCTTCTGCTCAGTGTGCCTCTCCAGGCCCTGGCATGCTAAGCAGAGACTCTTGGGTGGCCTGGCATGGGTGCTCCCTCATCTCAGCCTGGGCCCAGTCAGGCCAGGTCTTCCTTTTGAGGCTGGGCTGGCAGAGCCAGTGGGCACAGGTGGGTAGGAGGTTTCCCTGTCCCATGGAACACCTCCCGGGGTCCCCTCACCTCTCACCTTGTCCTTGGTGAGCCAAGCAGCTCCATGTTTAGTCTCCCCTCCACACCCAGCTAGACGGACACTGTGGGCTTCAATTCCCATGGTCACTTCCAGCCTGTATTCTGCAGGGATTCCACCTCAAGCCCACAGCCCAGGAGAAAAAAGAATTATGTGCTCCTGGGGCCCAGGCTTGCACCTGTCCCAAGGATGTCCTGGCTGCACACACATACGCCTCCACAGAGGGTGTGCAGGGCCAGGCAGCATGGAGTGGGGTCAGAAGAGGCTGGGAGAGGTCTGGGAAGGTGTGTCATGGTCCCGAATGTACTGCAAGATGTCCATCTCGTCCATGGCTTGGACCTGCTGCCGCCGCCCCGCCATGCTCTCAGTTGCACCTGCTCTGGGGGGCACAGGCGGCTTGCTGGGCAGTGCCGGTTTTGCTGCCACTGGTGGCTTGGGCTTAAGCTGGGGCTTGGGTTTGGGCTCAGCCCCCAGCTTCAGAATCTGGTCCAAGTCCTCTTCAACTCTAGGGAACCAAAGGAGCAGCCCTGAGCATAAGGACCCCCTGTGAAGGCGGCAAGACCCCCAGGCAGCACCCCTCCACCCAAGGGCACTGGGCAGCTGGCCAGACCAGCCCATGACAGGCCTGGCTCCCCATCCCCCCAGCCCCAGGGAGAAGCCAGAGGGCAGTGCTCTTCCCTCCCCCCATAGCACAGGGAGCAGAGCCAGTCCCCCAGACACTCCTGAGGATGCTCTTCAGGTGACCTCTCTCTAAGCCTGCTGGCCTATTCAGGGGACTTTCCCTCCAATCCTTTAGAAATAACCGTCCACTGGCAAGCCCTGCTCTGGGACAAGCACTTCAGACACATTATCCCTTTTGTCCTCAAAACACCACTCCAGGGAGGTGCACCCATGTGTCCACCTTGTAGAGGGGAAGCTGGAACCCAGGGGGCTGAAGGCCCAGCTAAGAGGATGTGTATCCTCACCCGGATTTGTGTAAGGATCAAACAAGACCTTAGAGACCAGCATGCAGCCAAACCAAGTTCACCCAGAGAAAGAATAACTGAGGGGCCTGAAGTTGTGGTGATGTGGGCTCTGCCTGCCTCTCTGTGGGCCACACAGGTGCTGAACAGGCCCAGCGAGGGCCCACCAAGACTCACTCATGGCTCACACCTCTGACTGTCCACGGTAAAGTGACAGTCATGGAGGACCATCTCTAGGTATGAATGGCAGGGAAAAAAGGCCATTGCCCACCTCTGCTCTGGGCCTGGTGCAGGCTCCTGCTGCTGGCTCTTGGGAAAGGAACTCGATTCCCAGAGGCCAGATATACACTGGAGGACTCACTCGACCTGCCACCCACCCAGCACCATGCTGGGTGCCTGTTATGGCCAGGCAATTCCACATGTATTCAATTGTTTAATAATGTCGAAACAGTGTCTGGTGGCAGATATTGGCCTTATTTTATAGACATGAAAACGTAGGTGCAGAGAAGTACAGGGCCCTGCCTTGGTCTGCACAGCTATCCTGAGGACACAGAATACTTGGCCCACATGTGGCTGGCTCTCTTGGGGGCATTCACCTTCCTGGGGCACCTCTACATGGAAGCCCCTTCTCCAGTCCCAGAAAGAAGCTGCTCCTGTGCCCGACAGTTATCTCCATAGGCACCCTCGGCCATGTTGGCTTGGGTGAGGGGGACATAGGCACGGAAGAAAACGGACCTGGGGAGCAGGTGCAACTGGCCTCTCCAAGCTTTGGTTCTCTATCTATAAAACTGGACCAGCAGCACCGCCCGGCAGGGTTGCCAGCACTATGCACAGAGGTGCTGGCTCTGCAGCGGCTGCTATTCTTTGTCCTGTGGCTCCTTTGGCTGGTAGCCTCAGGCCACTCCACCTTCCTGGTCTTTGGCGGCCCCATCTGTAAAGTAGGAATGCTCTCACTCTGCCAGCCTCGCCAGGATTTGTGTAAGAATCAAACAAAATCCAGATGGAAAGTGCTTTATAAATCTAAAAAATACTGCAGGTGCCAGTCGACATTCACTGGGCACTGAAGAGAGCAAGCACAAAGCACAAAGGAGCAATGCCTAGGTTCCTTCCCCAGGGCACCCTGAAAGCCAGTCCAACAGGATTCACCAATTGCAAACATCCTGATGTCACTGAAGGCGGGAAGCGCATGGCCAGAGCAGGTGAGGAAAGCTTCCCAGGAAAGGGAGCAGGGCAGGCCCAGCATGAGGGGAGTTAGGGAGGGACCCTGGAGAAGGGCGTAGCGGAGAGCAAAGGTCTGGAGGTGGGAACGAACTGGCAGAGGAGCCAAGCAGGCCGACAGCAGAGGTTTCTTGCCCTGAGCAGCATATCCCGACCGCAGAACCAAGAGTATTATCTGCTCAGACACCGGCTGGGTTGGGTAGGGGCAGAGCAGAGGCGCCTTGATCAGAACTCTCTGGCACTGCATGGCCTGGCAGAGCCTGTGTGAGGGTGGAGGTGGCTGGCACAGCATCCCCAGAGGGGCTGCAGGCCAGGAACCTGCCATCCACAGAGCTTCTGGGGGAGAACTCCTGCAATGGGCAGAGACCTCTGGGAGGTAATTCTGAGCTTGCTCCAGATGAACAAAAAGTATCCTTCTGGTCCAAACCCAGATGGACCCACTAATGCCTCTCTATAGAGAGCAGCTGCACAGGGTTCAGGGAGATTTTGGGAGGTGTCACGGTCTGGCTGCTTCTGGAAGTTTAGCTCAGTTGTGCCCCAGCTCCCTCCAAGCCAAGGCCCCTCCTCGGCTCCCCAGCATCAGCCACTGGTTCCTTTACATTCTCCAGTGGAGGCCAAGGGTAACCAGGGAAAGCTGAGAGTGACTGAATTATCTTAAAACAGGGGTCTTTAGGAAAACGAAGCAGCAGTTAAAAGCCCGTGTCACATTTCAGGCGAAGCAGCTGCTATAGAACTAGTCTGAAGCTGGATTTGCTATGCGGTGGGAGGCTGTGGGTGGGAGGCCATACAAAGGTACTGTAGTCATTCTTGGGATACAAGTGGCTGCTTAGGCTCCCTCTTTCCAAGCACCCTATTTCCATGGGGGCTCCCCGAGACACACTTAGGAACAGGTCTCACTAACACGAGGTTCAGTCCCACTCTCTTCGAGACCCAGCTTTGGTGGGGTCTTCTAGTGTGGGGTGAGGAAGTCCTAAAGTCCCTACAGAGGACAGAACTTGGCTAAAGATCAAAACCAGAGGCCAGCCCTGATGTGTCTGCAGAACCGGAGGAACATAGACTCCTCAGTGCCAAACCCTGCTCGTGTCCCACCCTGTGCTGCCTGGGGATGGCTGAAGCTCAGGCTGCTGACGAAATGAATGGAGGGGTGAGAGCATCAAAGAAGGGATGAAGTGGGGAGGGAATGGCTGCTGGAGAGCTTTGTTCTATAAGAAAGTCTAATTACTCCTGAGTAGGAACACAGCAGACACAAGAAGAATGAAATATGGCTCTTGCTCTCAAGAAGCGAATTCTTCATTACCAGATGTTGTTAGAGTGAAGGGAGGATGCAGGGCTCACATGCTGTGAGCAGGGATTCCCAAGGTGCTCTGCAGGCTGCTAAGAGACATGAAGGAAGGGTCCCAGGGACCAATGAGAAACATGACATGTCTGCCCAGATGACAGGCCTGCAGGAGTCCTGCCTAGCATTGACATTTCCCCAAATCACGTGGCCACAGAACCCTCTGAAGGTAGCCTAATAACACTCCACTCTACCATGCTTTGCCAAAATTAGACTGGTAAATATGGATTTATTTATTATTTATTTAGGTACAGGGGATTAAACTCAGGGGCACTCAACCACTGAGCCACATCCCCAGCCCCATTTTGTATTTTATTTAGAGACAGGGTCTTGCTGAGTTGCTTAGCACCTCACTTTTTGCTAAGGTTAGCTTTGAATTCATAATCCTCCTGTCTCAGCCCCCCGAGCTACTGGGATTACAGGTATGTGCCACCATACCTGGCTAATAATGGATTTAGAATAAATACACTGGAGAGGTCCCATAAGAACTGCCCCTCTAGGATATACTCAGCCTGGCCCTGCTGCTCCCTAGGATGATCCAGTATTGGCTTCCCTGCTGCCTCAGTTTCCTCCCTGATGAAATAACAGTTATCCTGGTTCCTTTCACCCTGCTGGAATGTTAGAAGCGAGGACACAGGATGAAAGTGAACAGATGTCAGGGGCCTTGGGGAAATGTAAACACAGAAGCCATCGCAGTGACTCAGGCTTGGCGGGCACTTAGAGGGCTATCTAATAGCCTGGGGCTCCTAACAAGGGGTGCAGATGACAGCCTCCTGGGACTACATGCCTCGGTGCCACATAAACTGTTCTTAGAAAGAGGCATCTCAGCTTCCTGTAAATGGCCAAGCACACCCTATATCCTGGGGTGCAGATGAGGACACTTGCTCAAGTCTGAGCATGCCGAGAACATGGTTGCAGAGGCCCAGGGAGAACTCACAGCTCCTGCAGGGAGGTGAGCACCCAGTCTCCAAGCGCTCAGAGTCCCGGATGGAGTGCAGGCCAGGACAGAGGCAGGCAGAAGCTGCAGCTTCAGACAAGTGACCTCTCCCATGCTTGATTTTGTGTAAAATGCAAAGAACAGTAGCTGCTTTGGGGGCTGTTGTGAAGATTAAATAAGTTGTAGAGTCTCCTACACTGCCGGACACACAACAAGTGCTCAGGAAACAGCAGCCATCATCCCTCTGATGGGACCCTCCCAGGGGATGGGCCATTGTAGGTACATCTGAGCTCTTCTCCCTCTGGGAGAGACACATGCTATGAATTATCAATTTTATTTGTTCCCAAACCCATCTCTGCCAGTTACACTTGCTCTTGAGTTATGTAATTTAATTATCATTCTTTACACATAATGGAATGTATGTGAGAAAGGAAACTGACTGGCTGAACACTGAAGTTCCCTCACCCGCTGAGCTGCCCTGGATGCAAATCCCATCCCTGCCTCTTGGTTATTCCCAGCCGAAGGCCTTGAGTAGGCCAGGATCCCTCCCCTTGGAGGCCAAGGCTGGTGAACTTTCCCATCCTGGGAGGGGTCGCTGGCTCAGAGCTGAGAAAAACCCCTGGGACAATGGTACCTGAACAGCTCTTCAGATGCAGATCTGAGGCCCCGGCCTGATGTGGGCCCTCCATTTTCACAGGCGGCTGGCAGCAGTAAGGGGTCACCCAGGGGGACGGCCCCACCAAGGTCAGGGTCATCAAACAGCTTCAGGGCTGTGGGGAAGGCAGCAGCAGAGTGGTCAGAGCAGCTCTGGCTCATCTTTAGCTGCTGGGGACAGAGCAGAGACACTGCTCCAGCCTCCTAGCCACCCAGGTGAGTGACAAAGGAAACTAGAGAAAAGGGAGCAGGTGCATGCAAAAGGGTGAGGACAGCAGCCCCTGTGGGCCTAGGACACCCATCTGTCTCTGCCCCACTCCAGTTTCTAGTCCTGACTGGCTTCCCGCTGCTCTAGGTGAAACTTCCTCTTGACTCACCAGTCACGGTCCCAGGTCCAATACAACCGGACCCCTCAGCTCACCCCAAAGTCACAGTGTCTTCCAATGAGCTAGGACTGAGTGGCACTGCCAGCCAGGGGCGCTTGCTGCCATGGGGTCCCTGATAGTCACTGTCCTGCTGAAGTCCCTGTCTACAGGAAGCCTGCCTCCCCGTCTGGGCTGCTCTCAGCTGCCCTTTGGGAGTGTCAACCGTGGCTTCTACTTGGAATGCCTTTCCTTGGCAGTCTGGCTAACTCCAGCCAACATTCAGGACCCAGCCTGGCTACAGGCCAGGCTGGTTACACTGCCACCCAGGAAGTCTTGCCTGCTGTTCCACGGGAACCAGTGTTTCTGCTCAGCCCTGGTACAGGCTCATGCTACTCTGCAATAGTCAGGTAATGTCCTGTCTCCCTGTGGGACCCTGAGAATGCGGGGACCGGTCTTATTCCTCAGTGTGTTTGGGGTTTGGACATCAGTGGGTGCTCACCAAGTACTGTCTGAATCAATGGGTGACATCCACTCCCTCCCCCTGGAGGAGAATTTGGGGAATCAGAAGGAAAGGTCAGACAGGGACAGGCAAAGTCCCTAGGCTGCCAGCTCTGCATCGACCCTTCCAGTGGGGTCTATGCAGGTGACACAAAATGTTAAAATTAAAATCATGGGCTGGGGATGTGGCTCAAGCGGTAGCGCGCTCGCCTGGCATGCGTGCAGCCTGGGTTCGATCCTCAGCACCACATACAAACAAAGATGTTGTGTCCGCCGAGAACTAAAAAATAAATATTAAAAAAATTTCTCTCTCTCTCTTAAAAATAAAAAATAAATAAATAAATAAATAATCATACAGCGTCGCACACACGTCCAAGGTGGGCCAGCAACCACCGTCCATCCTAAGGGTGCCTAGAGGCCCAGTGCCCACATCTGTCTGCAGAGACAATGAAGGCACTTTTTCTCCAAGCAACAAAGAAACCTCTTCCTCTGTAGAATGTTTAGAATAATGTACAGCCCAAGAGTGTTCTGGATTGTAGGGACACCAGGTATGAGGGTGGATTTCTCAAGCAGAAAATCTCCATGAGCTGATCCCGTATTCCGTTGGAACAGGATAAAAGAGAGACTTACATCCCACTCACAAAGGATATTTGGGATAGAGGTCAGCCATCAAGCAGATACCGAGAGCAAAGGGAACTCACGCTAGGGTTTTACTTACAGTCCTGGGGTGTGTTCTTCAAGAGGCTCCGAGGGGACAGTTTCCTGCTTGGGCCAAAGAGTTCCTCATCAGGGTCCACCTCCTCGTCAAAGATGGTGAGCCGGGGTGAGGGCTTGGGCTTCACCGTCACCTGGGGGCCTTTCTTGGACTTCTTGGAGCTGGAGAATTACAGACAATACACAAGGTAAGGACTAACTTGTGAGAGCCCCAGTGGCCTCCTAGTTGCACCTAGGCACTGGGCCCACAGTCTGAGACACACTGAGACACACCAGGCACTGGGCTTGCTGGAAGCTGAGGCCAGAAAAGACCAGGCCAAAAGGAAACCATGGGAATGCCAAAGCAGCCAAGTCGAGCAATCCTGGCAGGCAGAGCAACTGAAGTGGCCCTTAAGTCAACAGACAGGTCCTCCTTCCCCAGGAGGGAGAAGTAGGCAGGCAGAGGGAGCTGGGAGGAGGCAGGTTTGCTTTACCATGATTGGACAACAAGTGGTGAGGCTCCTGCTACTGAAGCAGCCACACTCTGTGTTTGGTGTTGGGGACGGCAGGGAGAAACCAAGTGGCCATCTCAAGTAGATCCTGATGGTCAGATAGCTCCCAACTCTGAAGGCCCACTTGGGTCTCAGGCTGCTGCCTGCTCACAGGTCAGAGAACACGCTTTTGTTTCTGAGGTGGAGGCACCACTTGGGGACAGGCCTAGAGAGTCATCCTCTATAGCCACCTGGAGATGGGTAAACATAGTATGAGACAGGGACCTGGGAGAGCAAAAAGCACCCTTAGAAAGCCTTTGTACCCCCCGCCTCCATAAATGGGGTACCAGCCACTATTCTAATGAATGCTGTGGTCCCACTGGACAGTCTTCTTCAGGAAGCATCTGGGACTCAGGGTCCCACGTGGCTCTGCCCCCCTCAGGTCTGATTAAGCCTGGTTACTGACTGGCTGAGAAGGTCCCTCTAGGCCAGCTTGTGGCAGGAGAGGCCCAGGATTTTCTGGGACATGGTAGTGCTTTATTTCTTGGTAAGAGGGATGGGCAGACATTCATGTGCTGCATGCTCACAACTTATGCACATCACCCACGTCACCCTAAGTGACACTAACAGTAAATAAACAAACTTGGTTCCATTTTAATGTTGACCCAAGCCCTTCGGCTGCTGCCCAACATAAGTCATTTTAAGATTTCGCAAACGAGAATGCACTTTTTACTGGAAACTGAAATCGTATGCGGCTATCTGCCTGGCGGGCAGTCCCACTGGACTGAGGTCACCCTCTGAGCTCAGGTTGGCAACACTATGTGGCAAAACTGTGCAGAGAGGCTGGCACTGCCCTAAACAGTGATGCAGACTAAACAGTGGCAGACAAAAGTAACAGAACGCTACAGTGGCCAGGCACCGAGGTGACCATTCCCACGGTCGGTTAGATAGTGATGGAGTGCAGGGACTCAGCCCAGGGTCTGTTTCAGAAAACCCCATCCTAGTCCCTGACTTTCTCATCCAGTATACAGGCCACTGGGGCATGCCTCCACTCTGCACCATCCCGAGGCCCTGTGGGGCTGGCACTGGGGGTGGGGTGAGGGACTCTCCATCCCAACAGCAAATACTTTCCAGAAACTTGTGCTTTGGCTCCTCTTAAAACATGCAGCAGGAGGGCTCAGCTGCCCTTCATTCTCACCCATCAGGCACAGTCAGCGCAGTCTCATGACCCCTCAAAGTGGGTACCAATAGGGGCCAGGGACTCAAGGGAGATGGTCCCATCCCAGCCAAGACTGTGGGCAGAAATCCCAGGTGGAACCTGGAAATCGGGTTCAAATTTCCTGTGGAATGAAATGGCTCTGCCCTGTCACCTCTGTCCCTTGATCACTCATTGCAACCATCCTTTGCTTGGTCTCTGTCCCTGGATCTGGTAGGGACTGCAGCAGTGAGACCCCCAGCCCAGCACACCTGCACCTGGTCAGGCAGTTCCAGAAGTGCAGCCTGAGGCTGCGCTGTGGCTGCAGCAGCAGCAGCTTCATGTTCCATGTTCCCCATGGCCCCTTCCCTGCTTCCTGGGATCAAACCTGCATCCTATGCAGCTAATGGCCCCATGGGGCAGGAACAGTAGTTTCCATCAACCAGCAGTAGGAGAAAGCTCAGAGGTGTGTGTGTGTGCGCGCGCGCGCCTGTCAGCATGAATGAGACGGACTTTCCTTCTAGGGGGTTTCCCTCTCAAACTGTTCACACCTGCGTCTTTCTCCCTAGAGACGTTTGTGAACTTTTGTTAACTAAGATAAGGCAAACAAACGGCGTGGGGGGCTGCTCAGTCAGGCACTCTGCCCCACCCCACCCATTGGGCTTCCTGTCCCCCAATACTTCAGACCCCACCAAGGGGAGACAAAGGGTATCAGGAAACATGAAGCTTTGGAGCCTAAAAGCCTCATGGTTCTGATTGGCTCTGGGGATGCAGCAGTGGGCCTGGTCCAGAGAGATGCTTAATGAATACTAGATGGAAGGGTGGGTAGGTGGAAGGGAAGAAAGAAGGGAGGGAGGAGGAGGCAGCTACTATCTGGGTGGTTGGACAGTTGATGGATGCAAGGAAGGAGGAGAGGAAAACAGGCAGGCAGACAGCACATCTCTAATTCAGACTTGTTTCTGCTTATTCCCCAGGGATGAGGGGAAAGCAAGTGAGGAGAGATGAGTTCCCAGCATCCATCTTAGCACTCATGTTTGGAAGGCCCCCCACTCCATTGCTCCCCTGAAGATCTCTTAGTCAACCAATGGGTCTCCCCGCCAGCCCGTCAGTCACCCTACCCATCAGCAACCTACCCCTCCCCTTGGAGAGCCTCCTATGACTAGCACTCATGCAGCACCTCCCTCATGCAGCCACCTGTGCTAGGTGATGTGGACAGACATGAATAAGACTTGCCACTGTGCCCAGAAGCACAGGGATGAGCACAGATACCCTGATCACTACCAAACAGGGGATACAGTATGTCACAGCCAGAGCAGAGGGAGGAGGGGTTCTTTGAGGAAGCGGTAGAGAGGTGGGCAGTGACCTCAGAGCCAACTGCAAGAAACCCTGTGTCTGCAGGAGCCCAACTTGGGCATGACCAGGAACCCAGGTCTCTAAGTGACAAGGAACCCCTCAGGTTTGCAGCACAGTGAGGGGAAGGGCAGCAAGCCTGGTTCTTCATGGAGCCTTTGCTCATGACCCTCAGAGAAAACAACCAGCCCCAGGTTGCAGAGCAGTGCGGGAGGCAGGCGAGGCCAGAGAGCTCCAGAGGCCAAACATGACCACAGAGCGGATGGTGAACGTGAGCCCTGTGCAGAGGGAGCTGTCTGTGCAGTTGCTGGGCCTTGCCCTCACTGACGGATGGCTGGGTCGGTAATTCCATCAGTGACGTGAGTCGCTCAGTCTCTGAGCCCTTCCTTCTCTCACTCCCTGGTGATCTTCCCCCCTCCTCTTCCTCCTCCTCCTCCACTCCTATATCAGTGTCCACCTAGCTGTTGGCAGACGCACCTCCCAGTGCTGCAACACCACCCGGCAGCCCACCTGGCACTGACGGGCGACAAATCCCTCACTGACGTGACAAAGGATGCCCTCTTCTCTTCCTCGACAGATTAGATTCTTGTCACCAGGGATGGGGCCCAGAGGCATCAAACAGAGAGGTCTTCAGAGAATGGGAGGGAAGCTCCTGGCATCCTGGTGAACATTCCCAGGTCACAGGGACCACTGGAAAGACAGTCTGGCTGCGTACAAGGCACACGAGGCAGGCAGGTCTAATGCCTAAGCACCCGCGTGTTGCACGCGAAGACGCCAGCTTTCCTGCTGCGTGCCTGACAGCAGACAGATGCACAGCCCAGGCCGCAACCTGCAGGCAGGCGTGCAGTGCAGTACCCAGGAGTGAGGGGCAGCAGCTGCTGTGGCTGACAGCTCCAAAGCTCTGACTGGCCAAGAAGCGCCCTACTCCCTGTGGCTCAGGCACTTCTGTGATAGTGACTGACACATAAGAATGTCCTCCCCTCCGGTTACCCAGGGGGCCAGTGGCGCCATTCCAGATTCAGCCTCCTTACTTTGATGGACCAGTGCTGGGTACCAGCTGCCCAGGCCCCTGTACCAGGGAGTGGTAGAGGATCTTCCAGACAAAGCCAGCGCAACTGGGTCTGAACAGAAGGAGGCGAGTCCCTTCCACCGCCAGACCCACCACAGGGCCCTTACCTTCAAAGCCAGGATGATGCCTAACCAAACAGGCAAATCAACCTCCTTTCCAATGATGCAAATTTTCTGCTTTAAAATAAAGAACTTCTCATATTTTCATCTTACACTCTGTTTTTGGCTTCTTCGTGCTGGTGAAATGAGCTTCTGAAATTCATTCTAGCCCAGCGCTATCTGCTGTGGCACCAGCACAAGGCCTCCCTGGAGAGCAGTGTCAGGGAGCATCTCCCCGCCCCCCCCCCCACACCTGATGGCCAGGATACCTCCCTGGGCTTTCTCAGGACTGGATGGGAGGGTGAGCAGAGGTGAAAACATTGTACCTCTGGCAGGGGACAGCTCTGTGCAAATGCCATGGTGGGCAGTGCCTGGCAGGGTGGCAGTGCCCAACAGCTGGGCAGCAGGTGCACAGGGAGAGGAGGGGCTGAGGGGAGTCGGCATATCCTGAGGGGCCTGGGGGTTTCTGGCCTTTGCTGTGGGAGAAGCAGCCGAAGGGCTTGCAGGAGAACCTGTGTGTGACCCAGACCGGCACATAATGTGCTTTTTCATTTGTTAAAGGGAGCAACTGACACAGAAACACTTTGGAGTTCATGTGCAGGTGAGCAGAGGGCTAGGCCAGAGGCCCCAGATCGCAGTCTCTGCTTGATAATGTCCAGGTTCACTTACATTCTCCACCCAGCAGACTATGGCCTGGGCCATAACAGGGAAAAGGATCCACTGTGGGGAGCCACCCTGGACACTATCATTGCTATGGTACCCAGGGTCATCCTTTCAATAACTAAAGTCTGACTTTCCAGATCCCTCCAGGGCTAATCCCGACTCTGGGGTACAGGGCCCCAGCAACAAGTCCCCCTTCTTGGGTTGTGGGTGATACCATTTCACCTTCTCTGCATAAGGACCAGCACTGTCCCTCACCCATCATACACCACCAGAAAACCAGAGTGTTTCTGCTGTGGGGGCTCTGCAACCCTCTGCCC